TGAAAGGAATCAACGGACCAGATCTTTGCCTGTCGTCAAAAGATCATTGCTTTAGCTGGCTGTGGTGGAGAATGGGTGGAGCTCTTGTCCTTTATGTTCAACCCTCAGCCATTTAAATAAAAACAAATGAAGTTAAATGAAATGAACTTTCTCTGTTGGGCATAAGGATCCGTCTTTAAGAGGAGGAGCTTTGTTTTCTGGTAGGACCTGGCAGGTGACTGGGATGTCTCGTTATTGTCTCCGTTATGCCCACCAGCCTGGCCTCTTCAGGTGCAGGAGCCAGGATCACCCAGCCCCGGTGATCAGCCAGACGTCGCCCCCCCCTCCTCCTCTCTTCCTGGCTGCTAAGGAGCACAGCTGAGCTGAATCCCTCTGATGACCCACACCTGGGATAAAAGGCTGTGCCTTCGGCAGTCTGAGGCCCTGTCCACATGTAGCCGGGGATCTGCCAAAATGTAGATATTTTTCTACGTTTTGGCCTGCCATCCACCCGAAAACGGAGTTTTTTTCACACGAACACGGATCTTTTTAAAAACTCCGGCCAAAGTGAAGATCTGTGTTTTCTCCGTTTTGGGTGTCTGCGTGTGGACAGACAAAACCGGAGTTTTAAGGTCCGCAACGTCACTTTCCGCGACAAACAATGCTGACATCACGTGTGCGACCTGTGTTTACACTAGCCGACAGCATGGATGCCCTCAGAGCTGCGCTCTGTCACTACCCGATCCATCAATTGTCCAAGCGCTTTCTGCTTGTTTGTTTTTGCAAGCAGAATTACTGCTCCTTGCGGAAGACCACAGACGAAGGACGAGGTTAAGAACGGGAAGTACTGCCGCCTACAGGTCTGGCATGTCCTTAACAACGTATTTATCCGGGTACGTGTGGACAGAGCTTTTTTTAAAACGCGCTGGTGTGGATGCAAGTTTTTGCAGGGGCGGATATTCGTTTAAAAAAAAAAAACAGCTATGTGTGGACTAGGCCTGAGAGGCGGCAGTGCAGGGGTTCTGCTGTCCTCCGGGGTCTAGTTTTGGTTTCAACCCCTTCATTTTGATGAGGTTTAACTTTAATAGTTCTAACTCTGAGTGATCCAAAGGGATCTTTATTTGATGTCAACTTAGTTGACTCGCTTTTAAGGTTAACATCGTAGTTTACCGACTTTGGGATTTTAAAACACTCTGTTTTCGTAGTGCATCGGTTTTCATTATAAACCTGTGTTTCTAAAACACCTTCTGTTTCGGTAAAACTTTGTTAAAAGTTTTAACCAGGTGTTTTATTGTTGAATTTGTTCTTTAAATGTTAACCTTTTAGTATTGCTTTTGGTTTGGCAATAATTTAATAATGCTCACCATCTGTTTGAACTTGTTTTAGAACCTTTTATAACAATTAAACCCATTTTAAACCCACTATCATGTTTCTTATGTTACCCCCTCCATCACTTTTTAACACCTCCTGTTGGGGACGTAACACTTCCACTGAAGGTTTAATTTTTATATTCCACTGGGAGGAAACCCTGGGGCAGACCCAGTGGAGGGGTTGTAAATCCTCTCTGGCATGGGAATGCCTTAGGATTCTCTGAGAGGAGCTGGAGAGTGTCATTACAAGCACAGGGATGTCTGAATGTTATTGGATCTGTTTCCTCCTTGATTCAATCTTGGATAAGTGTGAAAATAAAAGGGAACGAGTGGACAGAATGATGATGGACAGATGGACAGATATAGCAACATGAGTTTTGGGGGGAAACAAAATACGAATTCTATATTGGAATAGGTTGACCAATGCGGGCTTTTCTATGACCGACACTGATCTATGGAGGTTATGGCAAGCCCATGAATAATTTGTGCTGCAGATTTTTTGGGGTTGATATTCATGAACCATATCTAGAAATGTTCCACTTGTGATTGCTAAAACGTCTCAAATAACAACAATGGATACTCAACCTTTCTGAACCCAAATCAGTTTTTAACACTATTTAAACAGCTGAATGTAAATGTTGTGCACTTGTGGCAAGGTGGAGAAGCAAGGGCCCGGGTGAGGTTTGATCCCCAGACTCCCAGGTGAGAGTCACATGAACTAACCAGTCAGCCAAAGGGACATCCTCTTGGCTAAGTAGCCAGGGCACATGATCAATCAGGATACAGTGATAGGACGCTCACTGTCAAACTGCTCGGTATTAAAATCAAACCGTTAACCCTCTGGAGGCAGGCGTTGCAGATTTGCAAAGTTAAAACCTACCTACCTGTTTACTCCACATACGTATTTCATGAGCATTTTTTAACTCGGAAGTACCCCTGAAGGACTCAGTTGTTCGTCCTTTTATCAAAACTTTTTTTGAGTCTGAGAGGGTTAAGCAGGTGTTTTAAGTAACCTCTGCAATGACACCGAGCTGCCCATGTGTACTCAAAGATGGAAGATGAAGTCTTTCATCACTGGCATTCACAAAAACAAGACCAAGGATTCACAGAAAAAAATATAAACATCACCTGTGGATCATGTTCTCACAGTTAATTTTTTTCATATTCTTGACATCCCAGTGTGGTGGCAGAGGTGTTTATTGCCCTCCCCATAATTGGAAGGTTGCAGGTTCAAGCCTGATTCAATCTGTTGCTGTTTTTCATTCTTGGGCAATACACGTAACCCGCCTTGCCTGCTGGTGGTGGTCGGAGCGAGGGGACTGGTGGTGCCAGTGTTCAGCAGCCTCACCTCTCAGTGCTCCTCAGGGTAGCTGTGGCATCTCATAACAACCAGCATGTGGTTAAATTACTGATTTTGTTGTAAAGTGCCTTAGGGGGTTGTAGAACCCTACCGGGTGCCTTGTCATCATGCAAATGTTCATATAAGACTGTGAACTCATTAATACTGTATTTGTGATTAAGAGGATCTCTACATAGTCTTTATCAGCAGAAATGCTGTTGAAGTTTGTAAATCATGTCTCTGATTTTACTGAGTTTATGTTGGGATGGCTGCACTGATCTTGTGTGATCCATGATAAAGATGGAAGGAAAGTGTTCCTGGACCAGATCAGACAAGATTATAGTCAAACGGAACATCATGAGGCTCAAGAGCAGCAGTTTTAAATCACTTCCTCCTGCAGTCAACAATGGTTTGGCTTGCTTGCATCTCTATTCAAAAACTTGTTTAACCACATGACTGGATTAGCATGCATCTCCTAATGTTCTTTTTAACTGTGATTTTCCCTTTTTAAACTGATGAGGGTGGATTAGGAGCCCAGCTCTGCAATATCAATGCATAAATGACTTTTTACATTTTGCGTGTGTGCGTGGGGGGGACCAACAAACTGGGCCCTGACATGTCAGACGAATGTTTATCTTCACGTAGCTTTGACAGCCCTTCAGCATGACAGAGTGAGAACAGGCAACGTGGGAGAGACCAGGCTTTCCTCCTGATTCCCAAGCCTGCACTAATGACAGAAACACACTTTCTCTTGCACCCCACCTGTCCCTGTGATGTCCTCTCAGCAGGGCCTGTTTGCACTGTTGTAAAATAACCAAACCATCCTCGGCGGGATCTTACCTTCCTCTTACGACCCCCCAGCTCTGTCTACACACAACAGCTCCTGCACCTCATTAGACGCTGCCTGACCAAACACTCTCTGACGGCAGCTGCTGCTAACAACTTTCTGTTTGCATTTGCAACACAAGCAGCTGAACGCCGTAATGATGGAAGAGTTGTTTGCGCTACGTTGACGTTCTTCCTCGAGTCTGTAGATACTCCATCAGTCCGTTTCTCTTGTGCTGAAAGAGAAGTGAAGTTGCTTCAGATCTCCAGAAAAGTTCATTTCAAAAATGCAATTTGTTCAAATCAGTTCTTTATGTTCGTTTTGGAAGTAATTAGGAGGATTTATACATTTTCTGATGGATTAAAATTGTTCTTCCCAGGAAGTTGATCTGGACTTTATCCTTCTGTCTGTTCAGTATCTCTTTGACGTGTAAATGAATGAAACTGTGATAAAGTGAGCACCATTCTTTTGGTTCGGTGCGTTTATCCATTTTATGTTGCAACAGTCTCTTCAGCAATGAATTCAAGCTGGGTTATATTTCATGAGTGACCCTAACCCTAACCCTCAGATAAACTCCAGGATTAAAATGGATGAAAACAAATTTCAGTTAAATGTTATCTCTGAGCCACATTTATTAAATAAGCAGTTGTGTTGCTGTAACAGTTCAGTTAGATGTCTGGCTTTGAAAGTGGGTCGAAGGTTTGGATTGGAAGTAAAGCAGAAATCACCGTTTCACACCAGCTGTTAACACCTTTGTGTCGAAGGAGATAAAAGGTGTTTTTGAAACACTTCACACCAGACCATAACAGCAATTTAAAAAAAATTTCAGCTGTTCAGAATATTTTTTTTCCTGTCTTAAAGCTGCAAATAATTACTGTCTTACCTGTGGCAGGTCACTTTTAATTGTTTTTGTTTGGAAGAAAACAACCAGCTCCAAACTTCTAAATAAAACATAAAACTATTAAACTAAAACAAATAATTAAGAACATTCTTACTCATCACTATTATTGTATAGTAAAAACCAGATTTATCCAGATAAATGTTGCTGTTGGCAGGCAAGCACTCCATAAATAAATTATTGATTGATTGTGTTTTCTTTTGTGTGTAAAGGAAAGCCCTAAACTAACTCTTAAAATATAAAGAAATCTGGCAAATAAGTATATAAAAAACAAATGGAAGAAAGAAAATTTATCGATCCTTTTTAATGTAGACTTTAAGCGGTGAATGAAATTTGAACATTGGATTTAATCTACATTTATGTATACGGTAAAAAAGCGGTTCCCAAGTTTCCTGGAAACATGCAGGCAGCAGAAACCCCAAAGCTCGTAAAATCAAACCAGGTTTCTCAGCTGTGGTGGTGAATGGTGCTCCAGGTGGGACCTGCATTCCTGTCCAGCTTCCACCAGTGGCTGTTTGTTTAGGTGTAACTAGCAGTCTGGCTTCTGAGGAATAACACTAAGTGCATCGATTGTGTCTGTGTTCACAGGAGTTATCAGCACTCTCTCAGCTCTGGACCGTGAGGATAAAGCCGAGCACAGCATCGAGGTCAGACTCTCATAAACAACATTTTCACCATCTTTGAACTAATGCTGAAGCGGGGAAAACAAATCCTTCTGCTCTGTGAAGCATCAGAGGCTTAGGGTGTCAATAAATCCATAACCTTACACATTCAACAGGCTGTTAAAGGCAAACCGCTGCCCAAATCACCTCCTGTTTTAAATCCCACTCATACAGAAACGCTGCAGGTTGGAAGCCTTTCTGTGTTGGGAGGTTATAACTTGCTGCAGGGAGGTCTCAAAGCACCAAAAATAACAGCTTGAATTCACTTAATATTGAGCAACACACACAGAAATCCATTAAGGAACTATTTCTACTCTCATGAGTGTAGGATATGCACAAGAAGAGGTTTCTGAATGGAAAATCCTCCCATTTGTTTTTCATGTATTGATTAGAAAACAGCAGAGTACCGAACTAAACTTCCACTACAGTAGTTCAGCCTAAGTAGCCTAGCTGCGTGGTGGTGCAGTTGTTAGCACTGTTGCCTCGCCGCAAGAAGGTTGCAAGTTCAAAACTCGGCTGCAGCCTTTCTGCATGGAGTTGCATGTTCTCCCCACGCATGCGTGGGTTTCCTCCGGGTATTCCATTTCCCCCCAGATCACAAAATGTCCTATAGGTTAAAAATTGTACGTTGCTTTGGATAAAAGCATCTGCCAAATAAATAAACATAATACAGAAACGTGCCATTTTTTTTCTTTTTATCTTGTGTGTTATTGTATCAGAAAACCTAACTAATCAATTAACAGTTCACAATTTATGAAGTTCCAAAATAAATTAAAAAGCAAACAAACAAACAAAAACATTCACTACCTGAGATATTTATTTTTATCAGAAAGAAATCACCCCGTACCTTATCAACCATTGAAATAGATCAATTCTTCACATTTTAATGATAACATGATTCCAGACCCAATTGGTCAGAGATCACAGATTTAAAATTTTGAAGCCTTGTTGTGGAAAGACTGTCTTGATTTTTTGTAACTGTACTGCAGAAAAGAGAGGTCTGAATTGAAATTACATAGAAATGTATGCTCACATTGGGTAAATGATGCTAACACAATTACAGATATTGACCTTTAACCTTCTTAACCTGTAGGTAATTGTCTCGGATAATGGATCTCCAGCTTTGCAATCCACTGCAACAGTCGTGGTCAAAGTTCTGGACGCAAATGACAACGCCCCGAGGTTCACGGGCAGACTTTTCCAAGTCAAGCTTCTGGAGCAGCAGCATCACGCTGGCAGAAAACTGGTCTGCCGGTTGGTCGCACGTGATGATGATGAGGGCACCAATGCTGCAGTTACGTACAGGCTGCAAGACAACAGAGATGATCAGTTTCAGATTGACCCATTGACTGGAGTGGTGACATCCCTGGGGGACTTTTGGGCAGGAAACTACAGCATACTCATGGTCAGTGTGCACAAAGTGATTTTATAGTTTTTACATCATGCAGACACATATGTAGTAGCAAGGTACCTCATGTGAAGAATATTATCAATGTAGAGTAACTTTACAAGTGGTTACACCCCATTTTTTAAATTCTGTCTGTTTGTTTAAAGACTTTAGAAAGTCAGTGAACTCTTTTTGCTTCATTGTCTGGAATTTACTTTATGAATCAGGAAAACAGGAAACTGGTCAGGTCTCCTCCTAGGGTTTTCAGATATAAGGAAGCCACAGCTGCTTGCAAAGATGACATCTTAACAGCTGAGTCAAGCTGAAAGTCAGCTGGCAAACAGCGATGCCTGGATGTCTGCAGTCAGGTTTTACGTGAGCAGCTGCTGGCTGAAGCTGAGATTTTAGCCAATCTCTTATTCCCACCTGCTTCGCCACGGCTCAGATGAAGTCAGCAGAATCTACTGACTGCACTCATGTTCTTGTGTTCACATGAAGTTAAGCTAATTATCACGATTGACACACTCACTGTTGAGTTTTTCATCCTGAAAAATGAAAGTGTGTTTTCACATGTGAACAGGTTCATTCGACAAACGTATAAATCATCTGAATCACCCTGATGTTGAACGAACTGTTTTACTTCCAACTGAACAAAGATCATTACCTTCAAGTCTGAGAATACTTAGATGCTATGATTCTTTCTGGATAAAAAGAGCTGAGTTGAAATGCAAAGCTTTTGAATTATGAATTGACCTACGTTGTATTCCTCACATGGTCATGGCCTACAGAATTGGCCCATGAATGAGTCAGTGAATGGCTGAAATAAGCCTCCTCAGATAATCTGGATTAACTTCTTTGAGGGGAACAGTTGAGTTGCTTGGAAACAGTTTGGAGTTGCTGCTCGTCTGCATGAAAAGGAAACAATTGAGGTAGTTGGTAAAGATGCCATTTATATGGCCTCCATGAGAGATATCTGAGACTTCCCATCACAGGGTGATGTCTGAGCATATTCAGGATGCACTTTACATATCTGAGTTTACATTTGGTTTTGAGAGTCCGCTATGATGAGCTGGAGGAGGCAGCAGGGCAGAGGGAGTCCTGGGGATTTCTGCTGAAGTCCCTGCGACTCGATTCTGGATGGATGGATGGTGGGAAAACACAACATTTTTAAGGACATGGTTGTTTCTCAGGTCATTTCAATAACAACTGGTCTCTGATTCAGTTTGTGGTAACAAAGTTTAGATGTCTAATGCCTAATTACCGCGATCCTTTCTAGATCAGCGCCACAGACCAGGGCGACCCGTCACTCTCGTCCACGACTCGACTCGACATCGAATGGGTTCAACAACCACCATCTTCCAGTAAACCGATCCGATTTGAGGACACTCACTTCTCAGCTGCAATCATGGAAATTGAACATGTCCATCACTTGGTGGGCATCCTAGAAACGGACGAACCATGGAAGCTGCAGTGGTTCAGCATCATAGGTGAGTGGACAGAAACAGTCTGTTACGTAATGACCAGAGCTAAGCTCTGCTGAAAGAAAAGTAGAAGAAACTTCTAGCTCTGATGAAGAGTAACCATCTCATAAATGTGGGTAATGATTTCTACAAGAAGACAAACTGTGTTTGAAGAAGCTATTAATATTTGTTTTTACAGCACATTCAGTTTGACGGTTAAAGGAACCACCAGCAGCTCCTGAAACGAGCGCTCACTGATCACTGAGTAATGACTCCTCGTAGATCACCACAAAGTCTCTCTGTCTCTGTGTCTGCATGACGTTAAACTCCTACAGTCGGGGAATTTATATTTGACATTCACTGTGCTGCAGTTTATGACAAAGTGCTGCCTCATGGAGCAGTGGCCCGTGGACTAGAAAACAATGTTAACAATCATCATCCATCTTTATGAGGCTCCATATAAACTGCACACAAGTTATTTTCAAAAGGTCAGCAAAGTACGGAGGAGGACTGAAGGATGTTAGAACCTGACAACAGAGAGAAAACAGGAATTTATGTTTGGCTGGGGATAATATTTATTTCTTTGATCATCTTGCTTCTCCCATGGATGGAGCTTGTATGTCAGTCCCAGAGTTTCATGTGTGGAATGACTTGTCATGGTGAATTTTTACTAAGAACCAACGGCTGGTCAAACAAACTATTTATTTATTAAGCTAGATGTGAGTGCAGGACAAACATGTAAATGTGTGCAGGAAAAGGTTATGTTGTTTAGCTTTTACAGTTTTACATTTCTGTTGGAAACATTTTGCCTTCATAAACACATATAATACAAGATAAATAGAATAAACACACTGCTGACCAGAGAGTTAAAGCACTTGCTTCTGTCAGCCTGTGCAGTTTCTATTCTACGTGACCCTCACGGCCTGTTGCTAAACAAAAATAAACAATACATGATGAACAAGAGTCTGCTTCTAGACCTGCAGGAGAGAAAAAAAGAAAAGAAAAGGGACACAACAACAATACAACAGGAGAAAACTATCACTGCGTCAACCTGACGAGGAAATATAAAATCAACATTGTTTTACTGAACAATCACACAATAATAAATCACAGTGCATTTAGTGCCAACCACAGTTTTTAAGGCATGTTGAAAATGCCCATGTCCATACTTATGAGAGCACCATGTGAGCACCTGTGTGTGTACACATGCTTGTATGTGTAAGGCTTCTCTAAAGGAACGTCCAATAGAGAGTGTGAGGGGCCACAGATCTGACCCCTAAAGATGCGTAGGAGATGGAAAGAGCTCCAAGTCCCAGAGATCCAGGAGCTGCCCTAGAGTGCAGGGACCCTAGGGAGACTGTGATCAGAAAAGCCCCCGCCCCCCTCGAGAGGCACAGAGGATCGCCCCGGGGGGCCACAACCAGCATCCGGCAGAGTCCCGGGAGATATCCAACCCCACAGGCCCGCCCGCAGCCTCCCTCCCCCAAGCTGGCTGAGCCCGGAGCCCAGCGACCAGGGACCCAGGGGCGACCACACCCGCTGGGGACCCAACAGAGCCAAGGGACTCAGATCCCACCAGGCAGCCACCGGGATTAATCAGGCAGATGCCAAAAATCTTAAACCCCCTGAATTGGGAGCCGTGAACACTCAGGCAGACCAAGGCACCACACTCCACACCAAGTGTGACAGGGGGAGGGGAGGCAAAGATGTAAAGCAGCAAAGGAGGTCCCAGGAGAGGGGAGGAGTCAAAGGCCCCACCTGACATATACAGTCATACACAAACACAATCACACACTCCCTCCCTCATGCTCACACAAACACATACAACCTAGGACTTACAAAAATGCACGCCGGACACCCACTCATGCTCCCCATACACACCCTATTCACTCTGGTCCTGGTACTGCTGCACATGGGGTACAACCATCACCAGTTCCCAGAGTTCGACCCTTTCTGCTGGGGTGCTGATGAGCAGGGTCCCCCCCACCCCCCAACGTCGAGCAAAGCAACCCACCACCCCAGACCCCAGCCAGATGGCCAGATCCCCCTCCTAGCCTCCAGCCCCAGAAAGCCAAGCGACAACAGAGGTGTACCAAGACCCCTAGTCTTCCTCCGCCTGCTCCATTACTGTTAGTGAGTGTTGATCAGGTGTATTCATGGCTGTGGTGAGCGGGCAGTGCAGGCATTGTCTGGCCAATGCCAGCTGATGCCACCACACCACCCCTCTTCCCCCCACAGTCCTCTGTGTCTAAGTGCAGTTTCAAATTTGAAGTGGGCAACGGCACTTGGGATGAGGCTGAAAGATCCCCCTGCCAAATGATGTTGAATGTGCTCACTCCCAAGGCCCTAAGTGTGTGTTTGAGTGGAAACTTGTTGGTGGGAAGTGTTTAATGTGCAAATAAAAAAACTGGAAAGTTATTTTAATAAGACCAAATTTACTTAAAAGTAAAAAAGTAAGAATGTTCAATTACACTCAAAGAGCAAGTTCACTGATGAACTGTTTTTTACTCTGAGTTTCACATGGAGGCTAAATGTGAAAATGATCTTCTACCCCTGTTATTTGAATTAGTCGCAGATAGAAAATAAACATGGAACGACTCGGATTAAAAAGCCTGAATAACATTCATGGACGCACCCATCTTGGCTCACAACGGGGAAGGCTGTTGTTGCGAGCGTCCAGGAAACGGCAGCACACATCTCATCTAGTAGAAGCTAACCATTAGCATTAGCCACTCCACCACACGGCAGAGCTCTGGTAGGCTTGTGATATTTGTGGAGATAAAATGTCAATGTTGCAGAGCAAACAGTTAGTGGTAGAGTCACATCGCTGTTGGCCAGTCAGAGGTGACATGTCCAAATTTCATGAAATGAGACTCCAAATCCAGCCGTGTACTGCTCCCCTTTCCTCTGGCTCGCTTCCAGTTCCGTCATAGTAGAGACCACTGCAAACGTGATGAGAAATGCCTGAACTTGGTTTTTAGGTACAAACTCAGAGATTTAAAATTTTTAAACATTGTTATTGGAATAATATCTTGATTGTTTCTAACTGTATCCCAGACAAGAGAGGTTTTTCTTTGAATGCCAGAGACAAAAGCTAAGCTCCAGTCAACTTTCATGTTCTGCTGGATGATTGTGTTTCATATAGATAACAGATGGTGGAAGACTGGAGAATAAAAGGTATAAGTATTACCAGGAAGTTCCTCTCAGTTTGAAATAAAAAATCTGTAGTGTTCCTTCTCTTATCAACTGCCAGAACACCACAGGAGGGATGGCTGGCCATTTATCCTCTTCCTCCTCTTTTTTCTCATCTTCCTCTGACTCTTCACAGCCCTGAAGACTGTGAGGAGGAATGTCAGAGAGGGCTTTACAGAAAATAAAAGGTGTGAAATTATTTTCAGTAGAAGTGGAAATTAGCTTTCTGCGTGTGTGTGAGCATGTGTGTGAGCATGTGTGTGCGTGTGTGTGTGTGTGTGTGTGTGTGTGTGTGTGTGTGTGTGTGTGTGTGCCTCTCAGGCAAACATGTCAGAGTTTGCCAACGACCTCCAGCCATGCAAGGAGGCACGTGTTGAAAGACCCAAAGCTCCTCCTGTTCAGGTTGCTGTGCAAAGCTAAATGTGTGCCAGAACAGCACCGATCACAGCGGAGACTCTGCATCTCACAGGAGATGCTCAGGACTCTCAGAGCTGCTGACACCAGGAATTACGGTGGCTGACATTTACGAGGATCATCTTTATTGTGTCACAAAGCTAAATAAGTCTTAATCATCTTGGCTGATCAGGATGCTCTGATGAAAAAAACATGCACATTATGTTTACTGATAGGTCACACTAACTGTGCTGATACAGGTTTCACTGAATGTCTTTGGGTTGAGGTTTTTATCCACATGTAGGAGCAGATATGCAGACTACTATGATCATTTTGTTCTTGGTTTTAAAGTGAAGATTATGTTGTTACTTGAAGGGCTTTATGCCTAAGTCGTTATGTTTGTTGATACAGAGATTATACCCAACCAATGAACTAATGGCTAGTCCATAGGGGGTGCTGTAGAGGGAAAAACCTGATATATATATATATATATATATATATATATATATATATATCACAGTTTTTTTATGTATAGGTGTTCATTCGAGCTTCAATATCATCCCTCAGGTCAACTGCTGCCTTGTTCAGCATCGTTTCACCTATTGGGGCTTTGTGGCCAGTCTCTGAATGGTTAGTTGATGTTAGCTCCCCTCTGACCTGACCTTGAGTCCTGGTTCCCTCTTGGATTTTGTGTTCTATGTCATCAATCTCAGGTTGTGATAGCAGTTGCCATTTGTGGATGTTGGAACACTTTTTTTATGTTGCACTACGCAGCTTTGTTGGTCGTCACTAGGGTAAAAAATCCGACAGAACAAACAAAAAGCAGTCGTGATTGATTTTCTTCAAAACACTTTCATTTTGAAAATAATAATAAATCAATATTCAACAACATTTAATAACTTTCATTATAATTATGTTTTACTTCAAATGTAGCCCAAACAAGCTGAGCTGAGTGTTCCAGTAACATATAAACATGTTCCACATTTTCATCAATGCAATAACTTTTGATGTTAAATTTTAAATCATGAAAATATCTCAGGTTCTGAGTCAAAGTGACACTTTTAAAAAAAAGTTACACGTCTGTGGCAGATGATGAATAGTTAAGGTGGAAGGCGTAAATCAACAAGAAAAATGTGATCGATGTAAATATTAATAATGTTTATGTGACAAATTGTAGCTGTTAAACTGGATTTAATATTCTGTGTCCTGGCTATTTTTAGCATGGGTATTTTGCATTTTAATTTCCCTTCACTGTGTGGGTGAGAAAGACTCTTCCAGAATAATGGCCTGTCAAACATCAGATCTACCAATCCCCCCCCCCCCCCCCCCCCCATCTCTGGTTTATTTATTTATTTATTTTAGATGTCCTTATCGCTTCATGACAAGGCACGCTGTCTTGTTTCTGTTTTATGCCACTTTGTTATAATCCCTCCACAGCCTCGTATCACTGACCCTCATCTCCACATGAGGTCTACTGTGTCACTGCGCTCCTCTCCCAGGGAGATTTGATCAGGTATTTATTGCCGCGGTGTGCCTTCCTCCTCTCCAACAGCAGAAACAGATTCCTATCTGTTCTCTGGCAGCCTGATCACTCATAGCAATAAATGAAGGCCTCCCTTGCTGTCAGAATAACTCAAACACCCGACTCCGCTCAGAAACAGAAGGCTGCATTCATAGACAAAGTGAGGAGGTCAGCACGAGTAATATCACAACAGCTTCTGGATGGATTTACCGCCCCTCCAGCTCCACTGAACTGTGATCTTGGTGTTATTTACTGGACTAGGTCTTACCTGGACTGGTCTGAGGGTCAACACCTGCTCAGACCGAAAATGTTTGGCACTGTGGATCCCTGGTATGGTCAAAAAGTCATAACCGTTATGTTAAATGTTGAGGAAGATGCCTACTTTTAGATAAATATACTGTTGGTTGATTTAACTGTTAGATACATAAATTACAGATTGCAAAGAAATTATTTTGTAAACAGAGGCTTCTTCTGAGATGTGTTAGCCCTGTTTCACTCCCATTTTTCTGGGAAACCCCAGAGAAATTAATAATTGATAAAGACTGAGAGATCAGGATGAATGATTTAACATAATCCAGTAGAAAAGACAGAGTTAACATTAATCCATCAATCTTTTAGGTTGCTCCTGACACTCAAGTCTTCAGCCCTTGAGGAGCTGCAAGACTAATTGGGGTTGCTAGATGTTTAAAATGATAGCCATGGACAAAGATGCACATATTTCTTCTCAATCTGCTGCTGATTATGAAGGCAGTTTAGCCTTTCAAGGCTCGATGATGGGAAAGCAGCGTGGAAGTGCCAAAAGTTCCTCTCTGCTTGAAATGCACAAAACAGAGAAGTCCCTGACCTTGAGGCGCTTAAGTGACTTGACTTTAGGTCCTTTTATGAATCTACAAGCCAGATAATCTTTATTTAAACCCAGTTTAACTCAGAACCCTTTCACCTTGTGGCTTCAGCATGTTTAATTAAACTTTCTAAAGTCCATCTATGTCTTTTTGAGTCCTTGGTTTCATTGTAATAAAACAAGTTTTCTTAATGCTGTTTCAGCAGAGCCAAAACATGCCCTTTGATGTTCAGGGACTGATAAGTCTTTTGTTGTAAATATAAACTTTGATGGACCGCAATGTTCCAGTTTTAGTGCACGGAATAAAAAAAACTTACATTGGTCTTCATTTCTGACCAGTTTCTGGGGTCTCGGCCTTTTGGCTGCAGACTCAAAGAAGACAATATCAGATTTGATCAAAGAAAATAAAGTTTTCTCAGCAGGAGAGCTGATCTGATTCTCTGAGAGCAAGCTGAGGGTAATGAGACAATGCCCCTCTGTTGTACCGAGCGGAATGGTGCAATCTGAAACAGACCTTGAAGCAAACAGATGCTACATTGACAAATTGAAACTTCCTGGTGTTTCTGAAGGAACGAGTTACTGGCGGAAGATGTAGGTGAAAGGGTCCTTGGTATCAAGGTCATTTTAGACAACCCTCCTTATTCCACCATGAAGGACACATCTGCTGTAAACTCAGCTGATAAACCAGTTGGATCCTTTCAAGTTAAAGAAAAGTGATGTCAGAGATAATGAACTGAACACTCGTGACATCACTGATACTTGATTGTGAGACAGACGCATTGGTTAAAATAATGAAGAATCACATTTCTTTGTTGAATTAGTTTCTGTTTCTGGTCTATCTCCTGATTAGCCCTGCCTCTATGGCTCATTAAGACACTGAAATAACTGAATATATGTGCAATTAACAGCTGAACTTAGATCCTAAAAACCAAGAAAATGAAAAGGCTGATAAAAAAAATCCAGTTTGATGTGTTTGTTCCCATTTTGGTTTGAGATAACTGGTGGTCTCCTCTTTCACCTGTTGTCTCCTGGTCCTAAAAGTAATACTTTGTAACACTTTCAGAGTTTTAAATTGTTTTCTTGAGCCAGTATGTGCTAAAACGACCCTTTACAGAGCTAATGAAAGACCACCCAGCCCCTGTCGCCTCATGTGGCCAGAATATTCCACTTGCAACTTCAGAGTTGCTGGTCTGGTCTGTTGGACTTAGAAAAACTGGAGCTGACATACCCGGCACTGAAGTCTCGCTCTAGCACGTTTCCAGCATGTTTTAGATCAGGAAGGCTGGGAGTCACTTCAGCTGTTAGATTATGATGTTAAAAAGACAAAAGCACAGTGAGGAGATAGATTTCGCTTTCGGTTCTACAAACAGACACTAGGGGGTGCTAAAAGCAAGCCAAAACTGCCTACTCTCCCTTTAAACATTCACATTTGTAACTGATTGGTCAAAACATGTCAGTTGGATGTGTGATGGACACACAGCCTCTCAGCTTGCCTCGTTGCCATTGGGGCCTTGACCCAGACAAACATTTAAAGGATGAATGGAAGGATAGATGGATGTGATCCTTTCCCCGGTGCAGATTATGTCTTCCTGTGGAGCTTTCTGTTGGTGCTCACTGGGTAACATGAGTAAAGGATGCTTTTTGCATGGCTGGTTATCCAAGTAAAGGATTCTTCAACCGTGACAGGGATATGATTTTGCTCTGGAGATGATCAGTAAAGTGAAAAATTGCATCCACAGAACATCTTCTTCTCTATTTGCTGGGGTGACAGCTGGCGATGTGCTAAGGTGTGTGGAGTCTCAGAAGGTTTCTAAATTTACATTTACAGAAACGTATCAACGTGCCAGCTTTGTGTGCAGGATTTCTACCAAATCAGAGAAGAAATCTCTCTGCAGACAATTCAACTATCAATGAATTTGGGTCAAACTGGAATAAAAAATATTTGTGTTTAATTAAAGTTAAGGAATAAAGAGCAAAAGTTGTGTTAACATGCTTTCTGTTAGATGTCTTGATTGGCTCTCTGCAAATGTGGATATCTTAAGAAACACCATCTGGCTGAACAGGCATGAGATTTACCTTTCTCACGTATGCACACACAACCTGCTGAGAGTAAGATAAACCGTGGGGGAGTGCTGGATGAAAAGCACAAAGTAAAACAGGAGCGGTCCAAATGCAAGTATAAAAAAGAAAGTAGGATAACAGAGATGGCAGCAGATGGTCAGAAGGAGTCAGGACTGCAGATTAAAAGCACAGTATGTTATAATATTTATTTATTTGTGACCAAAAGAACATGAACAGATAAATCAGCATACATGGGATTAGCGCTGAGCTTTGATTGTTGTCTAGCTTATTTAAATAAAACACATTTCAGCATCTGCTGGTCAGAAGCAATGTCAAGAGAAACGTCCCAGATACACTAACCTAAACACATCATATTTCATTATATGCTAATGTCTTCACTTTCAAAGTGTTTCTAAGAATAATTTAGAAAATGTTTGAATTGATGGGTTTTGCTGCCAAATGTACATGATGATGTACAGAAATTTATATTTAAAAGAGGTTCAGTAGGTTACCTACCCTAGCTGTGTAACACAACTGCATGCTGTATAATTCTGTCAACGAGAAGGGAAGCTGATGACCGATGACATTCACTATAGAGACGTACTAGATGGGAATTAGGTGAAAACGTGCGTTGTGTCCAGGTATTTGAATGGTAGACCTTCCTACATGTTTATGTTGGTGTGGGTATCTGTAAAACTGATGCTCACTGTTAATCTGTACAATTCTTCACATTAATATAATCTTTTCTACCTGCAAAATCTACATTTAATTTATTCTCACAGCAGAATGTTGGCATCTTAAAAATTGAATGCTTTCATGAATCATTAAACACTTTTCATGATTCGTTCAGTAAAGAAAGAATGCAAAACTTTGTTTAAAGAGATTTAAACCTAATTGAAGCATACAGCCCATTTTCATTTTTTTACTGAGACGGAATACCATTAAAGGTGCTGCTGGCTGCATGAACTTGCACAAATGAACTTTGTTAGTTCGTAAGGTGAAAATCAAACATTTCATGACTGTTACAACTGTCATATAGTTGTTTGGTGTTTAATAATCCTTAATCTGTCATTAAACCGGATTTACTTGATTGACAGAGGCACCTACGCCTGCAACAGAGCAGCTCTTTGTGTTGTTTTAGGCCAGTGGTTCCCAACCTTTTTTCCTTGATGACTCCCTTGTCTGTGTCCAAGAGGAGCCAAGACCCCCAACCCCAACTCCTACCTGCATAAACACACTAAAAGTGATTAATTACAAACCTTTTGCAGACAGGGTTATAACTCTTATACAGAGTGTGTGTGTGCGCGCGCGTGTGTGTGTGTGTGTGTCTTTTGAGTGTTTAAAAGTTGTTTACATGTTTTCATGACTTTGAAAAAGATGGTGAAGTCATTCTATACTTGTTCAGTGTTTAACATGGTACTGATACTGGTAAACCAGGACTAAACCAACAGTACCCTGCTATCTGTGGAGCTCATAATGAATAATCACCAGGTGAAGATGGTTAAACACAAAAAGGAAGTGGATCAATAAATTACAGTTATCACCAGCCCCAATGGGACAATTACCACGGCAGCACATCCCTGCAGTCGATCAAAAATCAAGAACTGCTCATCATAGCGTCAAAATCTGGCAGAATAAATCTCTCCTATCTATTTTTCTGTCTCATTTACCCTCCTGCTTTCCTGTCCCAGGTGGGGATGAGGACAAAGACTTTGACATTCAGAGGAACTCAGCGACTCTCACCACCGCCCGCCGACTCAATGCAACACGACACTCTAACTACAACCTGACAGTGGAGGTCACAGACGGCCACAGCAGCAGCACCACACAGGTCAGGCACAATAGTTCAAACTGCATCTCACTAAGTTCAGAACTTTATTACAACAGCAGGTAAATTGTTAGTGAAAGTTCTAAGTTATGCAGTTCACAGCATTTCTAGCAGGTGCAAGCCAACGCCTCTAGATTTATTCCTTTTCTGAAGATGTTTGGCTGTAGTGTTATGGAAGCCCATCCCTGTCACTCTGAAAACAAGTCTTGTATGTCACAATTTTCATACAGAAGATTATTTTAATCAAAGTGGAAGGGTTGGGCTTCCATAGGAAAGACATCATCGTTAGAGTAGAATATGGCTTGCAGACTTAATATTCTTCATTGTTTAAACATAACCAAGTCTTTTATTAATAGAAACACATATTTATAACAAAAAAAAAAAACTGGATTATGTGAAAAACTATGAGACAGAATATATCTTTCCTATCTATTTTTCTGCCAGCATCTCTACATGCTTTTGAGTCAACTGACTCTGGGTTGAGGTTTTGAAGCTGCAGATCACTGCTGTTTCTCTCTTTGTTTTTTCTTTGCATTTTTTGGGTTTTTATTGCTGTTTTAATGTATTTTCTGAATGCATATTTTGTCAAGTGACCTTGGGTGTTCTGAAAGGCACTTTTAAATTAAATGTATTATTATTATTATAAACAAGGTTTATTAATCTAAACTGTCACAACAAAGCATCAAAATATGGTAAATGGCCTGTATTTGTGTAGCGCCGTCTTAGGGTTCTACAACCCCCCAAGGCGCTTCACAACACATTCAGTCATCCACTCATTCACACACGCATTCACACTCTGGTTTGGATGAGCTATGATGTAGCTACAGCTGCCCTGTGGCGCACTGACAGAGGCGAGGCCTGCTGAGCACTGGCACCACTGGTCCTTCTGACCACCACCAAGGTGTGTTAAGTGTCTTTCCCAAGGACACAACAGCAAAGTATGTTTCCCTTCATTTATATGACCAGAAAAAAAAAAAACATTTTAAGTGGGCTAACATTCGGATCTCAGAGCATCAACAGATCTTCGGTGTATTGACATTGTGCTTTTTTCTCACACTCTGTTTATTCCGTTTACACACTGTAGGTCTACATCCGTGTGCTGGACATGAATGAGCACCGACCCTTCTTCCTGAAGTCGCTTTACGAGGTAGAACTCTGGGTTGTGAATATGAGTCACTGAGGCAAAAAGACATGCTTGGGTTGTAATTATAGGTGTGCTGAGTTAAAACAGGTGGGAAAACAAGCAGAAACCTGAAAACCATCTTTAACTCATTAACCGCCAGCCGTTTCCAGATCACAAAAGCGTTTTTCAGCGTTTTTCACAGTTTTTTTTAAGAGTCACAGAACGTTGCGTACTAGGATGATGCCAACACCAAAACTAACAAAATAAAGAGAAGACTCATCTCTTACATCAGGAAGAATCCGTGCGTTTCGAGCGTTATCCGTTCTTTCATTATCCGTTGCCGAATTGTGATCGGCAGAAGCTTTTCCGGATCGCGCCTCACTTTTTTTTACAGCAGTGGCCCAAACCGATCTCCTAACACATGGTTTTTCTGCTTCCTGATCACGTGACGTGTGACGTACATGGATGAAGATCAGTTTTAGGGCTGGGGTGTTTGTTCTCACGGTGTGGGGGCTCGTTCCGACGCCAGAACAGTAAAAAAAAATGCAAATGAAGACTTTAGTCATCAATGGCAGTGAACGGTTGAATTTAAAATGAGGACTTTGTTGTCAATGGCAGTTAATGAGTTAATGGCCAATTTCCAAACACACTTTTGAAGATTTTGAACTACCTTGGTTGTTTAGGCTTTTAAAATCAATATAGGGATAATAGACCTGATAGAAACATAAAATGTTGCAAGATTTTAAAAGTACAAATGATTTACAGACGGTACATGTGAACCACCTCCTTGGAGGCAAATTAATTAAGGTTGATGCAAGACTAGATATGAAAAAAAGGCTAGAAACATACAAGAAGCCTGGAAAGTATTTATCATGGAGTACTTCTCTAAACTATCCTTTGGCATCCAAACACTGCTTAGAGAAATTTTGCATTGATACCGTTTTTATAAAATCACATTTATGACCCCAAACACACACTTTTTTCTATTCTCTCCTGGTGTCCTTTAGGTCAGGGTTCCAGAGGACACGTCCCCATGGAAGGACATCCTGCAAATCAGTGCCCAGGATGCTGACTCAAACAGCAAGTTGGTGTTCTCCATCCACAGCAGCCTTCCTCCAGACAGCACCAAGTTGTTTCATCTGGACCCAAAGAGTGGCGTTCTGGTGATAAAGGAGGAGCTGGACTTTGAGATGATCTCTGTTCACACGCTCATCATCATGGTAACAAATTCAGTTGTTTCAACAGAAATCAAAGGTTAAAGGAACTGGGAAAATATAAGTCAAATTATATATATATATATATATATATATATATATATATATATATATATATATATATATACACACACACACACGTGCTCATCAGCTGTCATACCATTTCTATTTCTATAAATAATCAATAAGAATGCATAGAAACAGATCTAGTAAAGAAATTATGACTAAAAGAACACTGCAGTAATGTCAGTGAGTGGAACTGCATCTTTGTTGTAATACATGTTTAATAGGCATCAGTTTGTTTTTTAATGCTTAAACACCCTTCAGGTACGTGACCAGGAGATCCCAGTGATGAAGAATTTTGCAAAGGTGCTGATTCAAGTGGAGGACTGCAATGACCACTCACCAGCTTTCCTCAGCCCCCGCTACAAGGCCAGCATATCTAACATGGCCCCTGCAGGTTCCCAAGTAATCAGAGTCAAGGCTCTTGACAAGGACATGGGAAGTAATGCAGACATTATCTACTCGCTGCATTCTGGTGAGTAGTGTAGGCCTTTTTTCCTCATGTCTTTCAGTATTTTCTCTGGAAAGGTGGTACCACCTTCTAATTTTAGACCTGGTTTTAACCACATTCTTTGATTGCAAAAGACTTAAGTGTTTGGAATTTCAGCTGATTATTGACATTCCTGGGAATGTGTGTGTGTTAAAGCACAGTGACTGAACCACCGCTACAACTGAACACGTTGTGTTGACTCAGTGTTTTAAAAATCCAGAAATATCCATCCTTATAATTGTTTTGTATCAGGTTCTGGTCAAACACTAAAAAATGATCAGTGAATAGATATTTATTTGTTCCCAGTTCAGTTTTTCTTGCTTAGGTTTACAGTTTGACAACCTGACTCAATTTTTTCTGCTCTCCTTTTGTTTAAAACAATGTTTATGTCACACCTTGTCCTGTCTCCCCATTCTCTTCAGTCCTGTGTCCATGTTAATTGCTCCCACCTGCCTCTCGTCTCCCAGTCACCCAAGGTCCCAGCTCCTCCTGTATTTAAACCCTGTTAGTCCATTTTGTCTGGTTGGTTCATTGTTTCATTGTCCTGCGTGTCTCATTAAAACCCTTTAAATGTTCCAGTCTGCCTGCCTGCCTCCTTTCTCACCCGCGTGTGGATCCTCACCTCCATTTCACTCACCGGCACGCTTGTGACAGTTTAAATATCAAGAAGCACATCAATGTTGGAAATAGGATTTATTTTACATTACTACATGTGCCTAATTTTTTTGTATCACTTGCACAAGTTTGAGTAGTTTACCTAACACATGATTTCTTTCATCTCTGCAGGTAACATCGACAGCATGTTCTCCATCGATCCAGAGCTGGGCTCTATCAGTGTTGCTAAATCTTTGAGCCTCCAGCCTCAGGACCAGTTCCAACTCACTGTAAAGGCCACGGATCAGGGTTTCCCTCAGCGCTCTGACCTCTGCTCCATCCACATCCACATCCATGTTTCTGACCAAACCCCGCCTACCTTCCCCTCAGAAGAATACTTAAGAGAGGTTAATGAATCAAGCTCTCCTGGAACCCCAGTGGTCACCATCTCAGCTTCCAGCGCAGCTCCCATGCATTATGGGATAGAAAGTGGCAATATAAATGGGACATTTTACATCAACCCTTACACTGGATTAATTTCCACCCAAAAACACCTTGATTTTGAGATCTGTGAGTCCTACAAACTTAAAGTTACTGCCTCCACCCCATCGGGAGCCTTGTCCAAGACACTTGTTTATATCTATGTCATTGATGAGAATGATAATGCTCCTGTCTTTCAGCAGACAGAGTATCTGGGACAGATTAGTGAGTCTGCTCACGTGAATAGCATGGTGATGGGAAAGAGAAACACACCACTGGTCATCCAGGCATCAGATGCAGATCGAGACTTCAATTCTCTTCTTGTATATCAGATCCTTGAACCAGAAGCTCTAAAAGTCTTTAAAATTGACCCAAATATGGGGACCATCTCTTTAATTTCACCCCTTGACTTTGAAACAAAGGCTGAGTATCACCTCACAGTGCAGGTGAAGGACTCTGGGAAGCCATCGCTGTATGCATCAGAGCCTGCCAAGATCACTGTTCATGTCCTGGACCTGAATGACTGCCCTCCACAGTTCATCACATCGGTGTACAAACCATCCATCACCTTTCCAGCTATCAGAGATGCAGAGGTTGTGCGCGTCACGGCCCATGACGCGGACTCTGCAGTCTCATACAGCATCACCGAGGGAAATCTCCACCATGCCTTTTCAATTCACCCCGACACTGGGGTCATCACAGTGAGCAACGTGTCTGATTTCAGGCCATTTTATAAACTCACCATCAGAGCCTCGGATGGACTTTTTAGAGATGTAGCCACAGTCGAGATAAATGTCACAAACCTGGTGCCAAGTGATCTTCGATTTGAGCAGAAAGTTTACACAACAAGTGTTCAAGAAAACCTAAATTTTGTGAAACCCTTGGCATCGCTAAAGGTCTCAGGATGCTTTTTGAACGAGCCTCTTTTGTACTCTGTCCTAAATCCCATGGGGAAATTTGCAATTTCTCAGACATCAGGCGTGCTTGAAACCACAGGCATCCCCTTTGACAGAGAGGAACAAGACCTTTATGACCTAGTTGTAAAAGTAGAAGACATGAGAGCTCCACCTAGAACTGCCACAGCCCAGGTCAAAGTTTTTATAGATGATGTCAATGACAACCCTCCACAGTTTCTGAACTTGCCATTTTCCATGATGATTTCTGAAGACACAGAGCCAGGAGATGTTCTGTATCAAGCAACTGCCATCGACATAGATCTGGAAGAAAATGAATTCATTATGTATTCTCTGGATGACGACTATGGACTCTTTAGGATAGATCCTGATGTAGGTGACATTTCCCTTCAGAGACCTCTTGATTTTGAAGCCCTTAATAAATATGAGCTGATTGTTTTAGCCACAGATGACGGAGAGCCCAGTCTTAGCACCATGGCTCAACTCATCATTCAAGTAAGGAATCGAACAAACCCAATTTTCCAAACTCTTCTTTATCCATTGAAAGTCCCTGAAAATGTCCCTCCATTCACCACCATCCTGCATGTGCAAGCCAGGAACCCAGAGGGTTATCGGCTAATCTACAACCTCGAGGAGGAAAATGCCTCAAAGCATTTTCACATTGATTTCAAAACTGGTGTGTTGACCGTCACCAACCCCCTTGACTATGAGAGCCAGACTATGCATGTGTTGACAGTTCGAGCGACTGACTCTGTAACAGGAGCTTTCTCAGAGGCCTCAATTGAAATCGAAGTGGAGGATGTGAATGATAATGCACCCGTTTTCTCACAGCCAGCTTATAGTGTGAATATAGCTGAAGGACTTCCAGCCAACACCTCAGTGATACAGCTGTCTGCCACTGACAAAGACTCTGGGAGAAATAAAGATTTAACTTTTCAAATTGTACAATCAGAAGACAGCAATGTAGATTTCTTTGAGGTTAACCCTAAAACTGGACTGATTGTCACCAAACGTGTTCTGGATCGTGAGGACCTGAAGCATTTTAATTTGAAAGTGAAAGTAATTGATAATGGGACTGTTTCTCTAAGTACTGAAGCCATGGTTTTAGTAAATGTCACAGATGTCAATGACAATCCTCCAGACTTTGGCAGTCCTTCCTACAAAGCCACTTTGGATGAAACGGCAAAATGTGGTCACATAGTGGTCAAAATCCAAGCGTCGGATCCCGACTCTGATGACCTCGATAATCTCAAATACAAAATAATTTCAGGAAATGAAGACAGATACTTCAACATCAATGAATCCTCAGGGATTATCTCCTTTTCAAACGTCTGCAAGAGGAATCTGGATCCTTATTATAACTTGACTGTGGCTGTTTCTGACGGAGTGTTCCAGAAAACTGCTCCAGTTGACATTGCCATGATTAACAGCAACAGACACAGTCCATATTTTAAACAGAGCATCTATGAAGCAGAGCTAGCTGAGAATGCAGAGGCAGGGACTCGTGTGATCAGGCTGGCAGCCATAGATCCTGATGATGGCCCATATGGAAGCGTTGACTACACCATCATCAACAAACTTGCTGATGAGAAGTTTGCGATACACAAAGATGGTCAGATTGTTACCACTCAGCCACTAGACAGAGAAAGCCCCAACCAGAGAGTCATTGCAATCAAAGTGATGGCAAAAGATGGTGGAGGAAAAGTTGCCTTTTGCACCGTGAAAATCATTCTAACAGACGAGAATGACAACGTGCCTCAGTTTGAAGCTAAAGAATATCAAGTTTCAATCCAATCTACAATAAATAAAGGCTCTCCTGTTATCAAGATTATGGCTTATGATGCTGATGATGGCAAAAATGCAGATGTTACTTACAGCGTAGATGAGGCGGAAGAGGTCATTGAAGACATTATCGAGATCAACCCTTTCACTGGTTTCGTTACTGTCAAGGAGAGTCTCGTTGGGATGGAGAACAAGATCTTCAACTTTAAGGTCAAGGCCCGAGATGGGAGCCTTCCTTTTTATAACTCTACAGTACCTGTTCAGCTGAAGGTGGTTTCACCTGAGGTTCCCCTCCCAAAGTTCTCAGAACCACTGTACTCCTTCTCAGCAGCAGAGGACTATCCCATTGGAACAGAGATCGGCTCAGTGAGAGCTGACTCTGACATGCCACTCATTTACAGCCTTGTCAATGGGAACATAGCTGAAAGTAACAAAGACAATGAGTTCATCTTGGACAAAGAGACGGGAACTTTGGTGTTGCAGAAGCCCATTGACCATGAAAAGACAAAGCGGTATCAGATCGATGTGGTCGCTCAGGGCAACCATAACGGCACAGAGGTTGCATCGCTGGTTTCTGTTGTTGTCCAGGTACGGGATGTGAACGATAACCAGCCTATGTTTGATGCAAGTCCATACAGGGCGTTCTTGGCTGAAAACATGCCCGCTGGTACCACTGTCATTCAGGTAACACCCAAAAAATGTTTCACCTTATTGATTTCCTGCTCTCTAAATTCCTCGAATAGAGTATCGAAAACCTTTAATACAATTCAGAAGTATTTTGTAATGTTCATCCTTTAGTTCAGCATGAGCATATTTGTTTTTCACCTTTTTCCTTACATTAAACATTTAACTTCCTGGAAATTAAATTAAACTTTAGTTTTCTTTTTAACTAATCATCAAAACCAATAAAAGACAAATCTTTCTGTAATTTTCGGAAGCATAAAATTTGACTGTCTCAATCATCAGGTGACAGCCAATGACCCTGACGCAGAAGCCAATGGCCAGGTGACGTACAGCTTGGAATCGATGCCTGATAATTCTCTGGTTGACTTCACCGAGGTGTTCTCCATTGACGAAGACAGTGGATGGATCACCACGTTGCGGGAAACAGACTGTGAGGCCAACAGGTTCTACAGGTTTAATGTAGTTGCCACCGACCACGGTGGTGATGTCAAGCTTTCATCAAGCGTCCTGGTAGAGGTGATGGTGACAGATGAGAACGATAATGCCCCAAAGTTTACCGAAGACATGTACCGTGGCTCTGTGGGGGAAAACTTCACCCCCCATGAACCTATTGTCTCCATGACGACCACAGATGCGGATGTATCTCTGGAGAACCGCCTCGTGACTTGCTACATCACAGGTGTGTATGTACTTGCGTGAGTGTGTGTGTGCATGAATTTGTTGGTTTCATGTGTGTTTCAGTGTCTTACATTAGGGTTATGCTTAGTCTTTGCATGTATAATTTAATCAGTAATCAGAGTCTACTGAAAATCTGCAGTGCTGTGGGATTCATCAAGACATTTATGAGGTGAAATGAAATCTTTGTTAATCACCCTCGACTGAGTCATATTATTTTACCTCAGATTAATTCCAAAAAGGAGTGGGATGACAAGATGAGAATAACAATTGGATGCCCTGCAGCTAACAACACAAATAAAGCCTTGAATTAATGCAAATCCTAGACAGTTAAACTGCTCTAAAGGAGCTCTCTGTCACAACACTCCTCTTTGTAGGAGAGAAGTGTTTGTGTTGGAATTATTTATTATGGCAGGCTTCAGCTAAGGTTGACATGTATTTTTCACACACAAACAAAAACAAAAATGCATGCAAATTAAAGATGCCCTCTACCTACGTGATTAATCTGAGGATTTTGTTCATTCAGAGTCCAACACCACATAATTTAATGTTTACAACAAATTATTTCTCCTGCTTTTCTTGAACATCTACTGTTGGGTAATTTCTATATTACTTCCAAATTACCTCAAAAAAAGTCAGAGCATACACAGAGGGATTAGATCTTTGGAAATTGTAGCCATCAAACAACAATCAATAAACAAACTTTGCAAAGGGTGAAACGTACACACCAGAGTCAGAAGGAGGTTTGTTCTCACACAGAAGCAAAGCTGCGGAGCGCTTTTATTAGGACCAAGTCAGAGATAACCACACCTACACAGAAGATAACAGGAATTCTTCAAAGGGGTCTTCACAGCAGGATGCTACAGACAGACCAAAGAGTCACCAAGTCTAGCCTTGGTTTGGCTGATCAATTTGCATTCAGGCAGGAAGCATTCTAAATGTAAATTGCATTCAGGCAGGAAGCATTTCTACAACACTTAAATATGTAACTCAATGTGAAAAACTCTGTTTGATTATCAATTTTTACCTAACATCTACCAGCTCTTAACCAGCTGGTAGCTGTAGTCATTTTCTTTACATTAACCTTGCACACCGTCATTTACATGCAGGTACTGATAATCTGATGGCTTTCTACATGCTGCTCAAATCAGGTTATTCAGAGGTTGAGTGGTTGTTTTTTAAGAAGTTAAATTTGTGAGTATTACTTGAAATATCCACATTACTTCCAAATAATTCGGCCAACATTGTGCTGGGAAACTCCTATGCCAAACTGTTGTTTCAGTCTGCAGTATGACCTGATTTGCTTCAGGTTTGTTTTTGTAAATCTATGATCAATTGAGTTCAACAGAGAACCGTGTGTTTAAACTTTATATTCAGCACTCTACAGTGGTTCTAGTGAAAAATAAAGGTTAATTGTGTCAGCAATTTATAAATAATTAGACTTAAATCTGTTAAATGAATCTTTCTATTCACTAGTAACTTATCGACAACAGAGAATCAAAGTTATGAAGATATTTCACTAGGGCTGCACGATATTAGAAAAACCTGTAATATGCGATAACAGTGATTCATATTGCGATGACGATATTACTTGCAATAAATAAAAACTTAACTCGGGAACAAAAATAATCAAAAACAAAGAAATAAAAAATGACAAAAAATTATCATAAAAATGAGAAAAGCAAAATATGTGAGGAAAGGGAAAAAGACAAGGAACAAGAAAAGGTAATCAGTGGATCCCGGGAAACGCAGAATCAGCAGAAGGAGCAGAACAACACTAACTCAGGTGTTCGCTGACTATCAACAGTGCCATCCACCTTGGGGGTGGGCATCTAACTTATGAGAACCCACCCAATTGGCCAAATGAGTGAACAGCTTTATTTGGTTTGTTAAAAAAAACCATCATGCTTCTGTTTGATTGACAGAATGCATTATGTGTAGCAAACATTTGAGCTGACCATGCATTACGATATTTATCTGTTCTTTGCGATGTGCATATTGTGCATGCTGATATTGCGGTAACGATATATTTGCGATATATTGTGCAGCCCTACATTTCACACAACAAAAATGTATGGCAAAGTTTTTTTGAAGACTCATTTGTGCAGACACTGAGACAGAGGTGGCAAAACCCAAAGAAATGTTTTGATAATAAAGTGAAAGTGACAGCAAAAGAAACAATAAATTAACTTGAAGAGAGGATTAGTGGATCACAAGAAACTCAAAATTGTTGCAGGAAGTAGATGGCAATAAGTGGTAAATGGCCTGTATTTGATATAGCCCCCTCTAAAGTCCTAGAATCCCCCAAGGCGCTTTACCACACAATCCATCTACCCACACATTCACCCTCTGGTGGTGATGAGCTACACTGTAGCCACAGCTGACCTGGAGTGCACCAGACACTTCAACCACCAACAGCAGGCAATGTGGGTTAAATGTCTTGCCCAAGGACATAATAGTGACAGACTGAGCGGGGCTCGAACCTGCAACCCTCCGATTACAGAGCATGCACCTAACTCCTCCTCATGATCTCAAAGGAGCCCCATCTCTTGTCAACATTTGAAAACTTTCATGTATTCATCGGCTTTTGAATGAATGACTTTTATGCTGCACCTTCTGCACTGTAACAGCTCACCCTTTACCTGAGTCTTTTTTTCTGGTTCGTAAACCTGAAATTAATTCGTGTATTTTAATTGTGCTGTCATTGATTTTAGTTTCTTGCAATTCCTGCTAATGGAAAGTGCATTAAATTGCATCTGTGTGTAAAATGTGCTGCATAAATAAAGCTGACGTGCCATGCCTTGTCTGTGCAACCATCGCCCGTAAAAGATGAAAGTGAGGACAAAATTCCAAAAGATTCCAATTTGTTGTTGAAAAATCCACCTTAAGACAACAGCTGTGGAGAAAACAAAATTATTTAATTTTAAATTACTGTATGAAGAAGCCACACTACAAAATAAATGACATGCTTCTGTTCCCTTAATAGATGGAGACCCACTGGGCCAGTTTGCCATCATCCAGGAGGACGAGGGTCAGTGGGGTTTAATAGTGAAGGAGAATCTTGACCGAGAGACCAAAGACAGATACACACTGAAAGTGACGGCCACTGATGGGAAATTCGAGGCTCCAGTTACTGTGGACATCCACGTATTGGACATTAATGACAACAGCCCAGTGTGCGAACAGGTGAGTCTTTTTACGCTCACGTAATCATTCAGATTTAGGTGTAATTCAGTGAAAGCGTCCCATTTATTTTTTTGCTGGAACTTAATCCATTGGAGTTTTATTGAAAAGTATTCATTTTCTTTTTGAAAGCTACACAAATTGTACTTTTGTAACATTTCTCACTTTTAACTAAATTAGGCATCCATTGAAATGATAACATTTGTTTTTAAATGTATGAACTTTCTATGTAAACATCCCTTCCTTCTCAGTAAATGCACCACCAGAGACACGTGATGCAGATGATTTGTCTGATTTGAATGATCTGTGTGTTCTAGGTGGTGTACACAGAGGGGGTGATGGAGAACTCACCAGCTAGGGTGTTTATCCTTAAAGTCTCAGCATCAGATCCAGATGTTGGAGTGAATGGCGAGATCTCATACACCCTCCATGGTCCAGATGCAGACATGTTCCATCTGGACCACAGGACAGGTATGATGGCCCCTTTAAGGGGTCGATAGCATGCTGTGTTTCTCTGTGAGATACTATACATAGTTTGGGGTCATAATTTTAGCCCAACCTAAACATTTTGTTGAGATTTTCGTTTTCAGATTGAAGCAGGAAGTGCTGAGCTTTATTACCTTCAAATTAAAGTTTTTTGATTTTAACTGGTGTCTTAACAGGTGAGCTGTTCACGCTGGCTGTTCTGGATCGTGAGAGTGATGTGGAGTTCAACCTGGTAGCAAAGGCAACGGACGGCGGGGGTCGATCGTGTCAGGCCGACATCCTGCTGATGATCCAGGACATGAACGACAGCCCGCCTCTCTTCTCCTCCAGCCACTACGAGGTCACAGTGTTTGACAACACGACAGTGCGCACGCCTGTTGCAGTCGTGTACGCCAAAGACCCAGACACAGGTGAGCTGCTGCTGACATTTAAAACATCTTTATAGGTGAAACTAGTCAGCCAGATTTACAGCAAAAAAAACAAAAAAACACTACATTGTTTTCCTCAGGTCACAACATGTTGCTAAACCTTCATCCTGGTACTATTGAGCAAACGTCTGCCTTTGTGTGTCTAAACACTGGATGCTTATAAATCAGGTTTTACTGATCTCACTCACAATACAACACAAATCCATTCCTGACAGAGTTTTGAATTCTAAAACCCACCCATGATACATTTTCTCAGCTGTGTTGGTATGAATCTGCAGCCTTTTAACCTCAGCAGCATCAGCAGCACACTTCCCTCATAGGTTCACAGTGGAGTCGCACGTTTAGCTTCCATGAAGTGCTTTTTAAAATCAGCACTTAGCTGCAGCCCCTCACTTCCCTCTTAGCCAAACATTTTAACCCCTTCAAGTACCTGGAGCATCATAGGCTGTCCAAAACGAGTAATACGTTTAGTTTGGAAACACACTAGCATTTTATAGCTATTTCGAGCCACATCACAGCAGCAGAAGGTTTGAAATGCAGCAAATGAGTTTTTGTTTACAGTTTTGTTCCTCTTTGACTTTTACTGCCACATAATAAAATGTGTGTAAACTCATAACTTGGTAACAGTATTCTCAGTAACTCAAGCATAATGATGGACTGACGATGTGACAAAAGTAAATGTGTTAAGGCAATTTTGAGACCAACTCTGACTTTAAATGCAAACATGCAGCTTCATGAGAAGTCAGCAGTTTGTGTGAACTCTGCTTTTGGGTTTCGGCAGCTTTTCTTTAGTGTTTCATCATGTTTTGCTCAAATATGAAACCCCAAGTTGTTTCAGCCTCATGTTGACTCAGCATGAATGAACCGTTTGAAAAGCGAACGCTGAGCGTTCATTTCCCTTTTGAAGTCTCTGACTTGGTGAGCTGGTTTGTTTTAAACCACTTCAGATGTCACTTGCAGACCACCGGGGGTTGTTTCACCTGGTTTTTGCTGACGTTTCGCCCAACACTGCAGCCATCGGAGTTTGCCGCTGGTGGCGGAGTCACTTCCTTCTCCGTTTATCCACGGGCAGCAGAGGACGGTGTCACCCTCTGCTGCCCGTGCTCCCCTCATCGATGACACAGTCCCACGTGTGATCCAGTGTGTAGACCCTATCGTCTCTGTTCATGGTTGTGTGTCCACGTCTCCTTATTTCCATGGCTTCCTTAATCCATTTTTAGTTTCTTCTTTCTTGTGTTACTGTTTAGAAAAAATAAGCTTTGGTGTTTTTTTTTCTGTTTCTTTATAAATTCTGCTCAGCTTTGGGGAGAGAAAATTGAAACGGCCAGTGGTGTGATCAAAACTCAGTTAAAGCTCAATTGGATGTGACAATTTTTGGTTTTTGTCATTAAAGCCTTGAAAGGTTTCATGTTTATTCATTGGCGCCGTAGGAAATGTGAAACAAGCGTTGGGCTATAAAACAGCTGGTACTCAGAAGGGTGGGCACATTGAGACAGGTCAGCCACTCCTTCAGATCTGCAGCGGCTTGTTTTCTCGTGAACTCACAACTTTCTCACAGACGAGACGTAGAGATACATCTGTGTGAGGATTTAATCTGTCTGCTGGCGTCTCCACATCTGTCACCGTTTGATTTATTGTCTTGACAAAAAACAATGACAAATACTTAGAATCCTGCTGATAGCCTATTGGTTTTTACTGTTTTCTTTTCTAAAGATAAACTTATCTAAATTCTTGAAGTAAAAAAGGCAGATTTTTTTTTCATTCCATGTCACATCGGGAAATGTTTAGGCTCCATCTGCTGACGTTTAACTATAGCACTCCACGTAACCCAGCTGATCACCATGAAGCAGCAAAACACTTAAACCTGCTATTGTGATTAAACTTCAACTTTCTGAGTTTATCTATCGAGATGTGCGTGTCTCATAATGCTACAGATTCATAGGCTTCATGATGATGTTGATGTAAGGTCAGAAAGAGAAATGGTCAGATCAGAGGCAAAAAAAAAGAACTGTTTTAAAGTAGAGATTGTATTTTTAACACTGCAGGTTTCAGATCAGAGGTTTTAAAAAGACCACACAATCCAAATGTGACTGAAAATAGTTTAACTGGAAAATGATTGATTGCTTTGGGATCATTTTATTTTATAAACCATAAAAGTTGATCAGGTACTTAACCACATTTTACCAGCTTCATGAAAGCATCATTTTCACCATATTATTTATCTTTAAGTTAAAAAAATCCCCACAACAATTATACATATCATTTATTTTCTCTGTGGTTTGATTAAAGATGTTTTGAATAACATGTAAAACTGTTTTGGTTGTCAGGTATAAACTCGGAGGTGAAGTACTCTCTCCTGGGAGGCGACAGAGGATATTTTTCTCTGGATGAGTTTTCAGGAGTCCTGTGGCTAGAGCGACCTCTGACCTCTGACACCCCTCCCACTTTTGAGCTGAAGGTTAAGGCAACCGACCGCGGCCTTCCTCGTCACCTCTACTCCGTTGCCACGGTGACAGTGGATGTAGTCTCCCTTAATGATTACCAGCCAGTCTTCCTTTACCCGGAGTACACGGCCCAACTCCCAGAATCCTTTGCAGTCGGGTCAAAGGTGTTGAGCGTCTCTACTCTCACCAGAGATGGAGGCGGCCCAGATCCCATCGTGTACCGCATCATCTCTGGAAACGAGGATAAGCGGTTCCTGCTGGACTCTCGAACAGGTCAGAATTGTTTTTTCCTATAAAGTGTTACTTCAAATGATGCTAAATACGTGGGCCACCAATGACATATGCTACATTCACACTGTAGGCCTAAATTGTCAGTTTTGATATTGTTTTGCAAACATTTCCTTCTTCTGCATAATGATTTGCATTATAATTTAAAAGAGGCTGCCGTCAGACTCAGTGTGAACATTCGGCAGCCATGACGTGTACCATGCACAGAAGAAAACATGATGTCACAAGCAGCGCCACATCACTTCTAATCTAGCCTCTTCCTGCCTCCTCTGCTGCAGATATGTGACATCTGTCACACTTTAATGGAATTCTTATTAAATGTGACATGTTCATTCAGGTCCAGGCCACAAATAGATCTGATTTAAAACCACATATGAAAGTGGACTTGGGCAGATTAAAAACAAACAAGAAGGCTTTGCTGTTTGCTGTTCAGACTGTAAAAATTATGTGACTTGTCACATTTCTGTAAAGAAAGAAAAAGAAGAGAAAAGATTCAGATTTAGGCCACTTCACCTGCAGAGTGAAGGTAGCTTTTGTCATCTTGTAGTATTGCTTAGTTTCTTAAATCAGAATCTGTATAAACTGTCAAACAGAGGCAGAAAGTGCTCAGAGAACAACTGAAGTGCATCAAAACAAATAAATGTGTATAAAAAATAACAGCAAAGCAAGATAAAGAAAAACGTAAGTGACTACACCGCCCCCTGTTGGCCACATTCAACTGAGATCATGAGATAAAACAGGTAAAGTATAAAAGAAAGGTAAACACATTTTCTTAGTTTGTTTGATTTTTAGTTTTGAACTAAAATCTGATCAGGAGGTGAACTTTCAAGTTGCAGATCCACAACACTAACATACTATTTGGGGCTATTTTTCATTCCTTCACTATTACAGCTGCTTCATATCAGCTGTACTTTCAGCAGAAACTCTAATGTCCTACTAAAACACAAACTAGCTAATAATGATGTTAAACTCTAAAAAAAGGAAGATTTG